AAACTTGGTGCCAAGACAATTTTCTGGATCATTCCGCCCTGAACATCGCTGACGCTATTAGATCAGAACTGACTAGCACCCTGAACCGAATTGAGCTTCCCATTTCTGAACCGGCCTTTGGAACAAAGACAAACACTAATGACATAAAAAGAGCCCTGCTGGCTGGATTCTTCATGCAGGTAAGAAAAAAAAAAAAGCATATCTGTGTCATTTCTTTGTACTCCTCGGCTTCATTTGTTTTGATCTTTTTTCTTTAATTTGCGGAGATTGCTCGAGATGTGGACGGATTGGGGAATTATCTCATTCTGATGAACAACCATGTGGCCCAGTTGCACCCGTTCTCTGGCTACGGAGTTCAGTCACATAAACTGGGACTACCAGAGTGGGTTGTCTTCAACGAATACGCCCTGTCTGAAAACAGCCTGAGAACAGTGTCAGAAATTTCCCCTCAAGATTAAGTTTAGTTCAGTAGACATCTGCATGTGATTTTCAAGTAAGGGTTCTGACACTTTTGTTTTTTCTTTTTTTGAAATTTTCTAACCTGGGCATTTCAGCACAAGACATTCACCTTGAAAGAACATAGAAAGGAACAAGAACCTGTTTGTTGAACAAATATAGCAGCCCAGTTTTGAATCACTCTCACAGAATAAATGCAGATTCTTAAAAGTAAAGTTTTATTTTTTTTTCTTGAAAAACCTTAAGTTTTTGATAGTTGAATCATTGAAATTCATTCTAAATTTGAAGTCATATAGACAGAAAAAGTAAGTAAAATAGCTGTTTTGAAGTGGTTTTTTGATTGCTCATTTACTCAAAATGTCTAGATCAAAACACTGTTGGATAAACAGTTAAAGTCAAGGAATGATTTTCTAAAGTACTTGTAATAAATATAAATCATTACAAAAACCAAAATGTTTATTGAACATTTTTGGACTTGTTCTATAGAAATTTGTAGGACTTATTCATACCTTGATATGACTTAAATAGTCAAATTCAGACTATTTAAGACAGTGTAGGAACCCTTATAATTGCTTGTTTGTAATATAAATAATCTATCCATCCACAGATTTTTTTTTTGTGTTTTTTTTATATGAACTATATTTTTTTGTATTTTTAATTTGATTTTGTGTTTTAGGTTTAATGAAATGGCACCGATGTACTTCTTCTACAATCTGCCCCCTAGTGAAAGCAAAGAATTACTGCAAGACATGTTGGACTCTGAGGAATCCAGACATTGCACAAAAAAACAAACCACAAACAGAAACGTTAACACTGACTCAAGCTGTGCAGCTGGAACACAAACTGACAAATGTGTGATTCAGTGAGCTGAAGCATATGGGTTGCAGTTTTAAAACGGGTTAGTAAAATATTTGAAGCAGACAGAATCTACAAGGGTTTGTAGGCTGAAGGATTTTGTAAACACTACATGGAAGACTAAAGCGCCGACATATTGAAAACGGTATCAGTAATAAATTCCAGTATATAGATTTGTTACTCTGTGTAAAACAAGTATCCTAATAGTTATTTCAGATTCATAAGCTGTTACATTTCTGTCTGGATCAGCAAACAATCTTAGGAGTTGAAATTGAAAGACAAGAGGGTTTTCTCTTTTTTTGCAAGATGTAATCAGTTTTCTTTGAGAACTGTTGAAGTGGACAAAACGGGATTTCAATACGAGTATGAAAATGATACATTTACTTCATTTGACTTAAGTTATGTGTAGTCTTAAACGTTATTGTACAGTAAATTTATTCAGACAAATTAAACAGCTAGTCTTTTAATTTCTGATACCTTGTACTTATTTAGCAACAAAAGCTCTTTTTAGAATAAAGAAGCCACCAATAGTAGCTGAGGTTTTAAGCAGCCTTTTTGCATAATTTCCAGATTGTCTGAGTCTTGGCTCACACAGTCAGGTATTCCTTTAGTTTTTCCATTACAGCAGGCATTCTGTCCATAGGTATCACCATCACCGTCCTGAAAGGCTTCATGGGAACGTCGTCAAACGACCACCTTCCACTTAGACAGGAATCTGCATCTTCTTGGACTGAGTAGTGGAACTTTATGATGGCTTGCTGTAAAACAAAAGCTAAGAATCAGCTGAAAGCAGAGTCAATGAATTTGGATTTTATTTAAAGATATGGTAATTCAGTAAAATATTTTGGGTTTAATTTTTTTATGATTTACAGCTAATGGAAACCCAATACCTGTTTCTCACAAATGAAAATCTTACGTAATCCCAGTAAAAAGCTTTATTATACACAGTTTGAGAAGTACATCCAAACATGTGCTGTGCTGTATAACAGTGCTGTGCTGTATAACAGTTCAGTACTTGATCAAGTCTCATTTTGTATGATCTCTTGCATTAATGTGCCGACTTTGAACTAGATGAACACAGAGAACCAAAAACAACAGTTGATTTCCCAAATTGTCACAAGACACTTGGAATCCACTTAACTCCTGAGGCTGGAGTTAGGGTTCCAACCTCTGGAACCTTAACTCAAAATGGTCCAAGGACTTTGGATCATTGAGCAATACTTCATTCTTGTTCCTCCTTTGCCTGGATATGACACGAAAAAGAAAATATGGCATCCATATCCAGGCGGAGGTGGATGCCAAGCATCAACTCCAGTCTACACCTTTGGAATCTCCCTCCAACACATGAATGAGCTTTTGCTGCACAATCATGTCAAAACAGCACCTATCCATGTCACTTGTGCACCTTTCACCACACTTTGTCCTTCCACTCAACTTTCCATTAACCTTAGATGCAGCACTCTACAAGTCAGCCTTCTTCCCCACAATAATGTAGGCAGTAACATTTGCCTTTTTGCTCTGACTTACATTTAATGACAAACTAAATCTTTGGTTTTCATCAGCTGTGAGTCAATCTAAGAGGAATAAACAGTTCAAATATATTATGTCACTGTGCAATCTATGCTACTTTCACATTTTGAATAAAAGTATTAAAATGAACTAATTATTTCTGATTTCTTGGGACCTGTAGATAAAATCTGGTTTAAATCTTCCACAGCTTGTATGATTTTTGACTGTACCTCATGAAAGAATTCCTCTTCTGCATTGACAAACATGTACTCCTCTTTTGGAGGTGCTCCTCTGGCAGGGATGCTCTTGGTTGCCTCTTTGCAGGTCTTGCTGATCATCAGACAGTAGTGACACCTCCCGCTGGGTTTGTTTGTCCTCTGGGCTTCTGCCATTTCTTCCCTGAAAGTCAAAGTCAATTTTCTTTCAACATTCTGGATTAGCCGATGTAAAATATTTGAGCCAGCAAGTGACGAGATGTAACACTGAGGACCCACTGCAGCTGTTTATGGAGAGGAAGGGCAATTTGTGGAGGTACATTGATGAAGCGCTCGCTCAGCAGCAGACCCACAGGCTTGCTCGTGTCGCTCAAGATCTTCTCGAGCTGTTCTGTTACGCTGTGAGGAGCATTCTTCGCACACTGGTCCACTATCAGCTCCTTGACATCCTCCACACACTTCACACCCTGCAAAAAGAAAATAATAATCACCCCTTACATTTAAAGATTTCAATGTAATTTTTAATTCCCAAACTGCATCTTTCCCACACAAATTGCACAAATTTAAAACCCATTTAAAGCATAAATACAGATGTTAGTCATGAATCTATGGACAATATTTCTACACAGATCACACTTTAAATATGGTGGGAAATATGAAAGAAAGAGAGCAGAGAATCAGATGGATTTGTTGGGTGACTATTATCTATAGAAAATAAAATTGATTGGCCAAACAACATGTGCACGTACAGATCACTGGATCGTTGTACAGATGAACGACTGATTTTAGCACCGGACAATCACTCAGGGTTGTCTATGTCTGCAATGTTACCTTTCTCTCTGTCAAGTTGAGCATAGTGATGAACCCAAACACTTCATCTGGGTCATCATCATCACTGTCCTCTGGCACTTCAGCTTGCTGCAGCCAAACCAAGGGACAAAGTTAACAGAAAGCAAGACAAAGCAAGCCAGATTAAAAAGCATGTACTACTGTCATGACAGACCCACCTTGATGACACTTCCAACGTGATTCTGCTGGATAATAATGTCGGTCATCTCTGATACGTCTACATGAGCCTTCAGGAAGAGCTGTGGCCAATGACAACAAAAGTGACATTAATAACAGCGTTCTCAGGCTGTTATTAATGGAAACAACCGTAAACACGAGTAAACGGTTTCTCACCTGCTTTAACAGCTTCTTAACACCGTTGAAATCATTGGATGAAATTGCGTGAGCCTCAAAATCCACCAAAACCTCCTGAAACCAAAAGGAGGGGGGGAAAAAAAATGAAAATTACAGAACAGCTGTATCAGGTAATAGCCAAAAACTCACGCGTTTAATCTACGAAGTAAACACACAAACGTCAGAATGTGAAGCAAATTTCTCTAAACTGTCGGGTAGCAAAGCAATAAAAAGTTAAATAAGGTTCTTGAGCAGATGTCGTGCAATAACGGAAGATTCCAGCTAACAGGCTAATGAGGCCATTTATGTACTTCATGAGTTACTTGTTGTTTCACCTCGTTGATTTCTTCGTCGCTGACATCCTCCGCCGATTCATCATCATCGTCGTCGGGGTTCTCATCCGAGCTGTTCTCACTTTCTTCGGGATTTTCACCCAAGCCAACTGCTCTCCGCTTAGCCGAAGAAGCCATGCTTGCAAACGTGAAACACGTTTATTTTTAGGTGGGCGGGGAAAGGGTTATAGTTCAGGGTGTAGAAATAGAAACGTAGAAGCCGCTATGATCCCCACGAAAGCGTACGTTAACTCTCGCATTCTTTGTTTTTTTTAATTTTACGTGTCTATCGAAATATGGCAGCGAGGTCAACGTGCGAAACAAACTCTTAGCTTTTGTATCCGGCTTCTATGCACTTCGGCATCTGTTCAGCAAGAGCGACGCAGAAGCTGAAGCCCTGTGGCCGCCATTTTGGCTCCAAACGTACAAGCTAGTCGCTGAACGGGGGGAGCCGCAATGTCGGCTTGACTGCAAACAGAAAATGGATTTGATTTCCCTTACCGGGGAAATCAGCGTTTAAACGCTAACAAAATCACCTATACAGGGAACATTTCTGGTTTGCCTATTTTTACCTTTTCGGTATGAATATTACCTTAGTGCTTTAGATGCTAAAAACTTAATTGCTATGTAGTATGTATGTGTAGTATCTGGAATAACTAATAGCTTACAGTAGATTCTCTTAGCGCTAGCTAATTTGTCACCAGTTGTAAACAAAAACAAACAGTCTGCAGAGCGCTCAGTGAATTCCAAAAATAGCACTGCGTTTAACTTTAAAATACAATAATTGTAATTTCTGTTTGCCGTTAGTGAATATTGCCAGTACTTGCTATTTAGAGCATTAAGGGTGAGTCAACAGCGTTATCAGTATGTGACAGTTTCAGGGAGTGACTGAACGATAAGAGCCTCTACACCCACCCTCAGTTGTCCTTGTCAACAAAAGATCTTAAAATCTTACTTTTTCCGCGTTCTTGGTTATTTAGTGTTTCTCTGCCAGGATGCATGTATTATTACTTAAAGAGCCGAGAGATGAGGAATCTGGACCTGATCCCTACATGAAGGTAGAAGCACACTTATCCAAATCCAGAAGAAACAGCGGTAATGTGATTGATGAAATGGTTTTTATGTGTCATTTTCTGCATCTAAAGGAATTGGAGTCGCATGGACACAAATCAACACTCATCCCTGTGTTGTCTTTTAAGTTCGTCTCGTTAAATACCTTTTCTGATAAGGTACGTTTCATTACAAAGGAATAATAAATATCTCCATCATGCATATGCAGAAATACATTGATGTTTGTAACCACTGGAGCAAAAAACAATAAAAAAATTGTGATTTGTTAATGCTGTATCAGCATAATCCCACACTGAAAATACAAACTTAATATGACTACTGTGTTAGAAATAAACTTTATCATAAATTCATAGCAGAAACACAGGTTTTTAACAAGTTGTTAAAATAGAATGCATTGCTTTTGTTAGCTTTTCCAGCCAGAGAAACATGGTGGCCTGATCTTTACCAGCCCCAGAGCAGTGGAGGCTGTGAAGATGTGCCTAGACATGGGAGGAAGGAGAGAAGGTGAATTTATCCCATAAAATAAGCACATGCTTTAAGCATTAGGAGATATTTGTCGTGTGCTTCTCTGAAAGTTAAATTTTACATTATGATTGGCAAAATATGTCTTCTTTATCCAGAATGGAACAAATGCATAAAAGACAAATGGAACTCAAAATCCATATATGTGGTCGGGAAGGCAACTGCAGCATTAGGTAAGTTGTTGAGCACTATTTTCTTAAAATGAATCCTAGTGGCTAGTGAACCTTATAAACTATTTATATCTGAGTGTGACACACACCTGGTGCTTGCTGATGTGCAAAGAGGTTTGAGTATAATCAGCCAGTTGTTAGACACAAGTGACAGATTGTTGTGACATACAGAAGCCCAATTTGGTCCTCAGATCACAAGCAGGTGGAAAACCTCCCAATGTTTGCTTAACTTCTCCATTGTCTATTTTTGAATAGGCTGAATTTACTTTCTTTGACACATGCACCATTTTTATTTTTGCAGTAATATGTAAAATGGAATGTTTTATCCTTGTTTGCTTGAAATTAATGTTTTACAGTTTTACTTAAAATCAAATAATGTGTGGTTACTTGTGTAAAGCTGCAGGTGTTTTGCATGCTCAGCTAAACATGTGGACTGGGATGTAGCACTGTCTGGGATGTAGCACTGTCTTACAGATGATCAGGATATTCTGAATTCAATTCACTGTGCCTTGCAATAGTAGCAGTTCAACATTTCCACGTTGTGTCTCATCACAACACTTGAATATTGAAGCTTGAATATTTTATTGGGATTTTTTTTGTGATACACACATTTGAAAACTAAACCAGATTTTACTCTGACTCCACAATTTTAACCTACTTTGTGTTGGTGTGAGATATAAAATCCCTATGAAATATATCTTAGTTTTTTTGTTGGCTGGTTTTAACATGCCTAAACTGGCTAAACACTTTGGTAGGAGATTGTGTACAAATCAGCACAACGTCTTCATTTACTCCTTACCTTTTTCTAATTTCTTCACAAACTCTTGATCTCTCAAGTGGGTGTGCTAAGTATCTTTGCAGACTGTTTGAAGGTTTTCAAGTTATATTTTTGCTCTGGAAGAGACTAATTTTCATTATATAATACTGCTTGTGACATCAGTCAAAATATGATTTTGTGTCATTTCAGTGTTTGCAAAAATGATATCTACTTGCACACCTATAAGCATATTGCTAAAGGGCACAAATTAGTCAAATAATTTGATTTCATTTTATAAACAATGCAACACATGACAGGTTGACAGATATAAATTAGTATTTTAACACAATCATTCTATTATCAAAAAATTGTTACACGAAAACTTGACATAAAAAAGATGATCTAGAGAAGGATGATCAGCATAAGGTTTGTGTTAATCTTTGTTCTGTTTGCGCTTTGCTGTGTGCAGTTCAAAGTCTGGGTCTGAAGCCCCTGGGAGAGGACACAGGGACAGCTGATGTCCTATCACGTCTTATTATTGAAAGTATGATGTGATCTGTACTTTTCTCTCAAACGTATTAGGCAAATTGAAAATTTCTATTAAGCATTATGACGTGATTCTTCTTTCTGTCTTAGGAGAAGACACCAATATCCCACCGCTTTTTTTCCCCTGTGGCTCAATTAAAAGAGAAGTCTTGCCCACGGCTTTAAGGGAAAATGGTAAGCATTTTCTTCTATTTATGGACAATTAAAACTTAAGCCCATAAATGCCCTCTGGGGTTAAGCTAATTAATGAGATAATAACTGCACTACCTTTGTCACTATGGGGATTTATTTCTTTGTTTCCAGGAGTTCCCTTAGAGACACTGACTGTCTATCAAACAGCTGAACATCCAGATCTTGAGAAAAATCTGAACAACTACTTCGCAGAGCAGGTGAAACCAAACTTCTTCTGTATTTTCAAGTAAAAAAAACCCAAACTATTTAATATATTATAAATAGCAACTTACTTATTTACTCACAGGGAACTCCAGCAAGTATAGCTTTCTTCAGTCCATCCGGGGTGAAGTTTTGCCTGGAAGCAGTGCGAAGGCTGTCGGGTGAACAACTCAATGAAATAAAGGTATAGTTTATTTGTAATTGCTCACAAGAAGATATGAATCGTTCGTTGTTTCTTTTTTTTCTAAAAAATTCCAGGTCAGAAAATACTACACCAATACTTTCTTCTTATATTCATAAGTACTTGCTTGCAGAAGCAAGTACTTAAACTACAGTGTAGTTTATTGGAATTTTATGTGATATGCCAAGTTAAAGTAGTGCAAAATTTTAAAGTAAAAGTTTATTTTCAAATCAAAAGTGAGGTGTGCATTTGTATTCAGCCCCTTTGATTCTAGTATCAACAGAGTCCACATGAATGTTATATATCCCAGTATAAATGGCTACAAGTATTATCTGTTTGAGTTCATTTTAAATATCTCTCATCATACGAAATGTAGTCCTGTGGTTCTAAATAAAACTACATTTGAAAAAAAGGTAAAGACATTTCTCAAATGCCTTGTAAAATGTGATTTTATAAAGTATTAATTAAGGATCGCTGAATACAAATATTTGTGTCTGACTCAATTTGTCTGCAGTTTGCCGCCATCGGGCCGACTACACGAGACGCTATGACAGCAGAAGGCCTTTGTGTGAGCTGCACTGCTGAAAAGCCAACGGCGGAGCATTTGGCAGCAGCGATAGCCACGGCTCTACAGTGATCATCTACTCTTAAATCCGACCAATCTATCTGTTGTCTGTCTGGTTCAAGGTTATATAAAATGTCAAATCATGTTTGATATTTTGCTGCTCATGTCACCATTGCTGGATTTAAAATTTGCACTGAAAAGATATTTGTGTCGTAAAAGTCAAGGAACTTTATTTCATTTCAATCCTGTTTTTAAAATAAAGCTTGATTAATGTAATTAAAAATGGCAAACTGTGTTTTGTTGAAAACAGCTGATGATGGCAAAGGTTCTTTACATTGTTTGTTGTTCACATAAAAGTGAGATCGTAACCCAGTCCACAGGTTAGCGAATGTTTATCTAAACAATTGAAGCATGAATAACACATCCAGTTGTATTCACTGAGGAGAAGTTTACTTTTCACACACAACTAAGGAAAGTGGATGAAAGTGGGTGTGTAGAAACTCAGGACTTGCCTATAAAGAAGTGCTGCTCTGTGCTTGGACTACTTACTTCCTCCACAAAGGTCAAACACAATGCTGACTGGAAACACGATGCTGACTGTTATCCAGCTGATGCTTTTAGTTTTTCTGACAAACCCAAATCATGCTGAGAAACTTTTCCACAACCGGGATCATTCCGACATGCAGATTCCTAAATCTCACCGAGCTCCTGTCATAACAGACGAATATGAAGCGGAGGTAATTATTGAAATTTTATTTATCCAGTTTTACTGACATTTTAATGAAACTTAAATAGAAAAAAAACATGTAAGCTAAACTTAGTCAAATCTGCTGATGTGCTGTGGTACGCGTAGTATGCTAACATTGGGGATATGCCAATATTAACATACTTAAGGGCTCAATCCATATTAAAGTTATGAATAGCGAAAGTCGCAGCCATAGAATTGTGAAAACACTCCTTGGTTTGATACTTAAATGGCTGCAGACAACAAAAAATAATTGAAGAACATTTCAGCAGGAGGATCTCAATATGCTTCATAGTAGTTTCACAATAATTGTCTTGTGCATATCCTTTGAGTTATTTCTTTCTAGGTATGGATTTATCAAACCACCCCAGCGGGAGGAGATCCAGATGAAACAAACTGACATTTCCTTCAGTGACGACTTCTTGGATGACTTTCACACTGCAATCCAAGAGGGAACCTCAGTGCCTCTTTCAAGGGACATACCTGAAACGAGTCATGGCGAGGTCCACAAAAGTGAATCTGAGAGTCAAGCATTTGCTTCAGCCCTTAAGGAGTTTCAAATGGTATCTGGACTGCCTGTTACAGGAGTGTTTGATGATGCCACCAAGGATGCAATGAACAAACCAAGGTGTGGGGTTCCTGACAAGGAGATAGACCCAAATCCCCACATTGTAAGCAAGAGCATCGGTGGCTGGGAGTTAGAAAGCAGTTGGAATGAAACTTTCAATGAGATTGACGGTAACAACACAGAAAACAGCATAATTGGCAGCTCGTCAAACTCCTCTGAAGATGACATATTCAATTTTAACGACACAGAAAGCCTCCTGACTATTTCAAATGATACACACAAAAACAGTAGTTTGGCTAATCCAACCGGAAACAGCAGCTGGACCTCAAGCCAGAGTCAACCTCTGCAGAACGGAACGCGTCACCTTGCTGATCTCATCTCAAAAAAAAGGCAAAAACGGGATTTGACAGAATCAGGGTACATGGCGTTTTCTAAGGACATTCTGAGGTGGCGGTTAATTGGAGAAGGTTACAGCAGCCAGCTGACTGTTGATGAGCAGAGATACATCTTCAGGTTGGCCTTCAGAATGTGGAGTGAGGTGTCTCCACTGGAATTTGTTGAAGATACCTGGTCACCATTGGAGGATGTTGATATCAAGCTGGGCTTTGGCACAGGTGGGCATTAGTCAGTATGTCATGTACTCACTTTGTCATAATGTAATTAACTGGGTTTTAGTAAAAGTTAAAAAGAAAAATTTTTTAAAAATCCCCTTGTTGATTGTAGAATAATTCAGTCAAACTACTGCAGATTTTAAAATAAAGCTGACAAAGTTGACACGAATTAATCAAATCTTTGATGCCTAATTGAAATTCATTTTTTAGTTTTTCAATTATTTTATAATTTATAGAAATGAAAGCTTACTAGAAAGTCTGGAATCGTATGTAAACTGTAGATAAAACTAACAAATCTAAGTCTAAAAACTGTGTAATACTGTTAATAATAATAATAATAATAATAATAATAATAATAATAATAATAATTTTTAAAAAAAGGATTCATTTTGGCTTAACTTTATCTTTTTCTTCACATTTTCCCTTCCTCACAGGAAGACATCTGGGATGCAATCAAAAGTTTGATGGCACTGGTCAGGAATTTGCCCACGCGTGGTTCCTGGGAGATATTCATTTTGATGATGATGAGCATTTCACTGGTCCCAGTTCTCACACTGGTATAAGCCTCCTTAAAGTAAGTAAGTCTGCTGAGTACAGCCAATGACTGAAAACTCAAGAAGGTGACTCACTGCCCCCTTCATATCCTTTCTCTCAGGTAGCAGTCCATGAGATCGGCCACGTTTTGGGGCTGCCTCATATCTACAGGCCTGGATCCATAATGCAGCCCAGCTATCTGCCCTATGAATCCAGCTTTGAGATGGACTGGATGGACAGGAAAGCTATTCAGCATCTATATGGTGCTCTAATATTAACACTTCTTTGGCACACTCAATTAAAATTCCCAAGAGGTTCAGCTGGGGATAGAGATACATAATAATTATGAGATTATTCTTGTAATTGCTGCTTATTTCTCTTCATGCTTGACCCCAAGGTGGTTGTAAAGGCAGGTTCAGCACTGTGTTTGACTGGATCAGGAAAGAGAAGACGCCCTACGGGGACATGAGGATCCGCTTCAACACGTACTTCATGAGAGATGGCTGGTACTGGCTGTACGAGAACAGAAACAACAGGACACGATACGGGGACCCAGTCGCGCTGCAAATCGGCTGGCATGGGATCCCCAGTGACGGAGTAGATGCTTACGTACACGTGTGGTCCAGAAAAAGAGAGGCTGTTTATTTCTTTAGAGGTAGAGAAACTTATTTCATTTCCACTGTTTTCTACAAGTGAAACATTTGAGAGAAGTCTGTGTGACAGCCTGTCACTGTTGAAGGTCTGCAGTTCTGGAGATACGATAATGAGAACGACCGGGTGTTTAGTTACAACTCTGAAGGTCGCCCATATCCGAGGCTAATTTCTGAGGGCTTCCCAGGGATTCCAAGTCCTATTGACTCAGCCTTTTATGACAGGAGAGACTCCCACATCTACTTCTTCAGAAGAACTCAAGTAAGAAACAAATTCTTGGATTTATTTGAGTGAGTCTAAATAGAAAAGCGTGTCTCACCTATTATACTATTTTCTTTTGAATTCATTTCTGTCTGGTCTATACCATAAAATACATTAAAATTTAAGCCTACTGAAAAATCTGTTCAAAAAAAATTTACAGTATGTCTAAGCACATCTGCTGAAACCTCTTTGCTCAGCAGGAAACTGAATGAAGCATGTGCATATATACAGTTAACTAAGTGCAGTTTAATTATTTAACCTTTGCAGTAAAAGTCAAAGCAAGGGGAGAACAGATTATGAATCATTTAAGTCTTTAACAATACAACAGTTGGTCATTAGAAAGGAAATTATATCTTGTGAAGAAGACATGCTAATTGTTTTTTTCAGTGTCCTTTGGGAGCGTATTCAAGCAGACAAAAGTCCTACACTTTCTCTGTTATTTGTAATTAGTCAGATCTCTGTTTGCGAAACGATTTGACTCTCCATCTGAACAGGTGTATGCATTCAGCGTGGAAACAAACAGCCTGGCAAGTGGCTTCCCCAAACACATCCGAGATGTTTTCCCTCCAGTGGAGAGCGGAGACCATCCAGATGGCAGCATCGACGCTGCCTACTTCTCCTACTCCCACAATGCCCTCTTTCTGCTCAAGGGCACGCGCTTCTGGCGAGTGGTGGGCAGCCGCGAACGCTGGCGCCGGCCCTTTCTGCCGCGAAATGGCTTGATGCCACACAAGGAGGTGGATCAGCAGTGGTTCGACATCTGCGACGTTCATCCCACCTCGCTCAAACTAAGCCGCTGACGGGGAGGGCTGCAGCAGAGATAAAACACACCACTCATGTTTACAGATGTATTCTGCTGCTTTCCCTTCAGGGATGTTATTTTTTTTTAGTGTGTGTGTAATCTTTTCAAGAAGACAAAAACAACTCTGTTGGCATGTTTTCGCACAAGTGCGCTGAAATGTATGGAACAGCTGCTGTTAATTTCTCTTTTATTAATTAGAGATGCAGATAGATTTACAAAAGATGCTTTTAGGTCAAATGTGTAGAGTGTCGACGTGAATAAATGTGTAGAGTACTTACTTATTCTTTTGAGTTTTACTTTAAGTGATTTGAAGCAAAGCTGGTCAAAGCTGTTGCCATCAATAGTTAGGAGTCTTTTTCCAAAAGAAATTAAAGATCAAACTTTTTTTTTTCATTACATAAGAAAAATGTATTTTTCAGTAGGAACACAGAAGACATGAAGTAAACATTTGGTTGTTAATTAGTGATTCCCCTTCAGCAAGTAAACAGCTTGGTAAGAAGTCTGAGTTTTTGTTTGGGGCTCATTTTTTCTGCAAAGTTATTTTAGTTTTTTAATTTATTTTAGTGACTGTGAGAGATAGGAGAGATTTGAAGGGACTTCAGAAGCCTTTTCTATTGTAACTATCAGGTTAGGTGAAGCTACATTTATGTTAATACGCGACATGATCAGGATGAATCCCGTCTTTCCAGGTCGTGAGCTCTCTGTCATGAGTAGTTAATAGTTTGATCATTTTGTTTCTTTATATCTGTTTAAGTCTTGCCATATTCTGTTCTATCCCTTTTATTTATAGTTGTTAAACGGTCTTGCCATACAAATTTATTTCTTTGTATGTAGTTTATTTTTTGCTTTCTGTTCTTTGTGCATTTGGATTTTGTGTTCTTGGATTGGCCCTTTGACTTGTTGTTTCTTAGAGTCTTTGTTCAGCTCTAGTGTTAATTGTTCTTCTTCCCTCAGTCTATACGTTTGCCTTCTCACCCACTTGCCTCTTGTCAACAATCACACACTCCTCATATTTAAGCTCCTGAATGTTTTTTTTTTTTATCACTGGATCCTTCTGTCATATCTTGATGTCCTTCTTGGTTCCCTTGGCTCTGACTGTACGACGAAAGAGTAGTTTGTTGTTTATCATTAAAAGAATGATGTTTTTGCCATTAACAGTCTCTGTGTTTGGGTCCTTTACTAACCTAAAATTGATAGTGTTTGCGGGAGACTTTGTCCTGAAGAGCAGCCTTATAAAATGTCTAACTCATCTTGCAACATTTAATTAATGCAGACATGTCAAGGTGCTTTCCATCACCTCAGTACCTCCAGTTCTGCAGTTTTGCCAAGATATATATAATTCTTGTGTTTTAGCATTTATTACAACTTGCACAAACTGGAAACTAAACTTCCTCATGATGAAAGTAGATTTTGACTGAGTCTATTATGTGTGTCAAAACAAAGCTATCTATTTTTTCTTGAGCAGCTATTGAATAGATATAATGAAAAATCTACAATAAGTTTTTTGAATATTATGGACAGTAACACTCCTGGGATGTCTTCCTTTAATAACCTTGACAGAGAAGATTAAGCATTCACAACCAGTCAAAGGATATTACATTGAGATCTGTATTGATGAAAAATGTGCTCTTCTTAGTGCTTAACATTGTTGAATATTACAGTATTCATGTGAAGAAACAAAGGCACTGATTCTTTAATCAATGCATTACTGGAACACTCATTAATTCACCTCTTTTTAAGGGATTAAGCTCCTGCTGGGCTTCTGCTAACTAGCTTTGTGCTGCAGGTGCTCTGTGGGCAATTTAATGAACTGAAGGAGAAATCAATTATAAGCTAAAGGAATAAAATGTCATGGTAAGTGCAGTTTCAGGAGAGGGAGATGTCAAGAGATGATTTTTCTGCTCACAGTTTAAAGAGGGTGCATTAGCAGCATGAAAATGAATGTTCAGATTCAGACTGGGAAGTTAAACTGTCTGCTTTTCTTTCCAAACTTATGGTTTTCTTTTTAATTTAGTTGAAAACTGCAGTGCTCATCTTGCTCATTCTTAAACATTGTGAATTAAGTTATCACAATGTTTAAGTACAATGTAATATTAGCATAGGGCAAAATTTACCTTTTTTTTTAAATAACTTTGAAATTAACACAGAAAACAGATAAATCTGGATGCTATTGTTTATCCAATTATAAAATTGTGTGGAGCGTCTTGCAAAGTGTTCATGCTCTTTTGACCTTTTTCATGTCAAATCCTCTAACTTTTTATTTATTTATTTATTTGTTTGTTTTTTAATTAGGATTTTACATATTTGCCTAGGGATCTCCAACTCCAGTTCTGGAGAGCCTGATGTCTTTTAACAATTAGAAGCACAACTGGTGAACTGCACCTGAGTCAAATTATGTAATTGCCTCTTCAGCAGGCAGCCCAGTTCTAAAAAATCCTGCTAATTACTTCATTTGTTGAAGAAAATGCACGTCCAAAAGTTGCGGGGCACTGGCCACAACAACAGGTTTGAAACCTTTAATGAAAGATTAACTCAAGGTAGAGCATAATTGAAAAGAATCCAGTCACCTAAGTATAAATGTTGTGGTTCGTTTACAATGTTTTTTTAAAGAACAATACTGAACAAACAATGCAAAGTCCAAGGAACAAGTCATGAAAGTGGTGAAGTTTAAAGAGTGGTTAGGTTCTAAAACAATATCCCAAGCTCTGGACATCTGCACTTGTCGAATCCATCATCTGAAAATAAAAGAGAATGATGGAACTGCAAACTTACTGAAACATAGTAAAATTACAGGCTGGGAAAGGAGAGCATTCATCTAAAAAGCAGCCAACCAGAGCTACCATTAGAACGGAGTCGATCAAGGGGTATTTGTAGATCCATAGTATTTTACACAGCCAAGTGTGGAAAAAATTCATATTTACATATTTATGTATAAATTCTTCCAAAGATTTACAAAAGTTTGTTGCTGCAAAACCAGTAGAGGGCAGCATCAACACACTGTTATTCACTACTTGAGGTTTCTGCTGTTCAGTTTATGTTTATTTGTATTTTTTCAAGAGTGGGATAAGGAAATAATAGGCATCACAGTATGTACTGGAGATATGGACACATCTTATTCTCCATCTGTCAGAGATGTAGCATTGAAAAGCTAATGTCAGCAAGAAGTGGAATGGGTTCATTCATACATTTACCCGAATCGCCATACTGAGTTTCAGTCTCTTTGAAAAGGATTTTGTGGTTACTGCCAAAAACTCCCAAGGTAGAGCGCAGATAAGCATTTATTCCACACGGTAATGCGAGTGGAATTCCAACTTTCCTGGAAAGCCGATTTTGAGCTGAAAGTTGTTTTGAGGATTACTGTGAAAGGTGTGATTACCCTGATGCTGGCTTGCTTACAGTGCTTCAAAACAACTAAAAAAAGAGCTTCGCCACATCTGACTTGGTAAATTCCACAACACTTTATTCCTAATGGGCTGATGGTTGATGATGGATGGATGCACGTCTACCATCCATCCTTTCATGCATGTGTTTTTCCATCCATCCATCCTTTTTCACCCATTCAAACACTTTGGTTGTCCTTGTGCTCATAAACAGAAAAGTTTGGATTGGAGCAGGAAAAACACTTAGCAAGGGCTTCACAACTTGCCTCTCACTTTCAAATTCAAATCATTCTTTCAAAGCTTCATCATCAAATGGTTTCCAACAAAGTGGTCTTTGTTAAGAATGTGTCATGTGGCAGAGAAGTAGGATATGAAATTCACAACCCAGGCTTTTATGCTGTCATTACACCAAGAATAATAATAAGAAGGAACTCCCGAAGTCTGCATTAAAAGCAGGTTTCTAAATGAATGACAGAGCGAGTTTGTTTGACATTAAATCCAATCATTACTTATACAAGCGAGCAGGGGCTTCCATTCCAAATGGAAATAGTGCAGTAATTACATGTTTTCTCTTAGGAATTGTCCACATATCAAACAACCCAATTTGAATGAGGAATCCAAATCATGCAAGTGTAATTAAGCATTGTGTAGCCTCATGCATAATGTAGCTCTTATTGACTACAATACCTGATAAACAAATAGTGTGGATGTGTAGGAGGAAATGTTTGTCTGCGCTGTAAAAGCCAGCTAATTTGACTCCGTGTGGAACAGAGGAATCTCTCCCACCCGCTGCAAGCTGAACCTCGACCTTCGGCTCTGGGGGGAGAGAGGGAGAGTTTTAGAAACAAAACAAGGGCTTTTCTGACACCGTCGGTCTGAGTGGCAACTGCAGGTCAAAGGGGGTGAGGGGATGGTAAGGATGCAGGCTGTCCCACGCATGGCTACACAGAGGAGGCTGCCCCAGCTTGCCGCCTTCGTTTTCCAGCACAGGGAGAAAAAAATGACAGGAGACAATTGTACCATGGCAACGTTTCTCAAAAAAAAAAGAAAAAGAAAAAGAAAAAGTAGAGCGATTTAGACTGATTGGATCAGAGCATCAAATGCTAATAAGCTGTCTGGAAGTTTTTCATAAAACAACTTCAGAAGGACTATTTTACTGCTTGACTTTAGTTGCACTGACAGAGTTGTAGGATCTTTTGAAGATATGTCACAGCTGGGTGGCAAAGTAAATTCACTGAACTGCAGCAGAAGCAGAAATCTAAATCAAATCCAGCCAGAACTGTCTGCTCAGCTTGATTCCAGATAAAAGGGATATTTTTGTAGTTTTTGTATTTTGCATGAATTATTCCTTTAATTTGTCTGCCAGTACTCAGGAAGTCGGCCTTTTCCAAAAAATATCGCTGTGATGTCAGTGGACAGGACTTCAGATGACTGTTTTTGCACATAATGTCAAGACAAAAAATAGGACAACTGCTAAGTTCTTTCACTGTGTGGAAAATTATGGAAAAATTATGGATAAGAATAAAAAAATGAGACTTAAGAAAAATAGTATTATCAGACGTCACTCCTTATTGCATTGTCTGTCCATGAATCCGTCTATGTACATTCTATTTTAATA